TCTTTCCCTCCTTTTGTCACCTTGTCTGTGTGAATTGTAAACTGTCTGGGAAGGGATTCATGCATTCCTGGATTGGTTCCCCATCCAACAGGGCCTCTGTACCTCAATCAAAAGTCATGTCTGCAGAGGAATGTTCACTTAGCTGCATGATACACTTTTCAGGACGGAGATGCATATGGATTGTTTACTGGAGGCCATTAGAAGCTCATACTTCCTTGCTGTGCCACAGTTCCTCTAATTTGCAGACTGATTTCTTCACAGCCTGCCCTCTTCTTGTTTTTTTTTATTTCTAAGCTAAAGTTCTGCCGTGGTTGGAACAAATGCTGCTCCCTTTTCATTTTAGAATAGTGTTTAAGGAGAGATGGTAAAGCAAAGAATTACTTATTTAGAATAAAGGCACTGCAGGCCAATTGCCACTGCAGGCAATTCAGCTCTGTGGGGCTTGAATTCAGCATAAGCCTGCCGTGCTTCACCTAAAGCTTGCCCTTCCAGAGGTGGTACGAGTGGCTGCGATGCAGTTGTATGTGGGCATAAAGCTGGTTCTTGCCTTTACGCTTGAGTGACTGCTTGTTAAGGGTAAGCAGCCCTAGAGAAAATGGTCCTACTTGTATTAGGGTGTAGGGAGCAGTTTCCACTGGTACAGTGTGATGGTGCCTTTCCCCTGCTCCTCGCCTTGCTCCTGGGCCACTCTGCATCTTGAGAAGTTCAGTTGCCTGGCAAGCCTTGGCCTTCAAACAAAGGGTTTGGCTGTTGAGAGCCCCTTGACCGTCCCAAACACTCTTGCATAGCTGAGGTGGGGAATGGCACTGATTGTAACAGGAATGCGGGTGCCTGACCAGGGTGAGGAACAAGAACAGGACTAACTAATCATCCCCGGACAGCCCTGGAACGACCGGACCCAGTGCTGCTGGAGACATGAGAAATTACCTGTCTGGGTTGTGGCCAGGATGGAAGTTCACTGTTGCCTAAAGTCAATCACCTCGCCACCCTACAAACAATGGTCCCAAGGGAGGCCCTTGGAGCTCTCCTGGACCACAGTGGGCTGCAGTCAGCATTTCCCTCGGAGTGGGATGCCTCTCGGAGCTCGCGAACTCTTTAAGTTCGCATTAAGTTCAGAGGACCATCGCTGAAGACCGGCACGGACCTGGGCTGAAACCCCCACTCCTTGAGGCTCAACCCTCACCCGCTGAGTAATGCAAAAGCATTCAATGTGAGTATTTCACTGGACTCAAGGGGAATTTTTAACAGGTACCTTTGTCTCTATGTTAATATCTTTATATCTCTTTGTATATCTCTATGTCTATATCTCTGTGTGTGTAGAGAACCTTTCTGAGTCTTTAACTAAGTTGTTGTGTCAATAAACTTAGAAAATATATAACTTGTGATTTACTTTAATAGTGTTAGTCACAAGTGATAAATCACACCGACCCAATTCTGACTCGATTTCCCTGACTCTGTGTAAATCATTCCTGCCAATCCACATGTAAATCATTCCAACCTAATTGTAATTTAGTTTCTCGTTGTATACTTTTTCCATGTTGATTAAGTAATAGAGTGGGTCTTGCCATAGAATTCTGTTAAGTCACGCTTTTTACAAATTTATATTACAATCATTTGCTTTCTAGTATTTTTGGCAGTGATTCTTTAAGCGACCTAAACCACTCATTCACGACATACAGAGTGACTATCTCTCCTAGAGGAATGAATGCATTAACCATTTCTCTTCTCATTCCTGAGAGTGTTTGATGCTGGAGAACAAGGCCTGGGAGGTGGGATGAAGATCTGTCCTCTACCTGTGGATGGCCTCTTGTGTTGGTATTGCCAGTGCAACTGCAGTCCCACAACTTGTTGTCAAATCAATCACTGCTGGTGCTAGTGTGTTCCTGTTTGCTCCCTGGGCTTGGTCTTGGAACCTAGTGCTAGCTCCTAAGTGGAAGATTTATTATGAGTAGTGATCAGCTAACACTGATTTCTCTCAGGTCTTGAGTTGAGGAGAACAGAAGTCCTCTCTCTGGGCTTAACATTTTTTGTCCAGTTTTCTCCAAATTAACATCTCGGTCATGTGACAGTTCTGCAAGGTTTTTTTTTAAGTCAGTTCTGTGAGAGGTTTTTCAAGGTCCTGATTGATCTTACTATCTTCTTTGATCTTTCTGAGATGTGGCCTCACCTTTGATATTGAGGATGAGGTCATACCATTAACTGACACAGTGGCATGAGAGCGTTCTCTGTTCTAGCTCTTTCCTTACAGGCCTGAGCATCTTGTGCAGCTTTGATTGGCACAAGACAGCACAAACTCACAAGTCTTAACAGGTACTGAGATTTGAGCTAAGCATCTTATTACTTCTGAGGACACAAAGAAACTCCCACATTGTTCCTGGAAAAATGTAAGAGAATAAGCCCTGAAGTGGGAACGAATGCAGTTTCTGGTAACTCTCTGGTATGGAAGACAAGTGCCTGGGCTACATGGTGTTCTCACAGGAAGGTGTTGCATCAGTTAGCTTTAAGAGGCTGAAAATAAGCTTTTCAAGATTTTCAAGTGGATTGCCAATTTTCAGGTTATGCTCTTGATGTGTATTTAAATTTTCCTTGCTAGAATGAATTGCTATGTGGATCCATCATCACTCCTTCCTCTACTTGGTCTCTGCTTCTGCGTGTGCGTTGACTCAAATTCAGGAATTAAATTTCTGTGACGATGGAAAAACACTTTGTGATAACTGCAATTAGCACTCTCTTTTTCTGTGGGGAATTTTTAGAAGAATAGTAGGCGTCCATTGGGAGGAGGGAACCAGGGGAAGGACCCACATCATTTGTTGCGATCTGTGCCTCCAGTTTTCTTTTGGAGTGCAATTAACACTCTGTGTGTGTGCGTGCGCATATATGTAATGAGGTAAATGAGACAACCACTGGAGATTCCTGGTGAATGCATGTGCAGTATTTTTCCTAAATCTTTCTCCAAAGTATTTAATAATAACTTTTATGAAGTTTTTTTTTTAATGTATATTGAGCATTTCAATATCTGGAACTAAGATTAAATTGCCTTTCCACTACAATTTATAGAATTTTCACTTCATAAACTAACTCTAAATAACTTTTGGCTGCTTCAGTTAGCTTCGTAGGGAAAAATGAAGAAAGAAAACTCAAATCCCAACAGAAAAACAACAAAGCACTATTAGGTTCTCCCCTCCACCCCCTTCCTGATCTCAAATTTGAAGCTGTTTAAAATTGATTTAGGGAATGCACTTTTTGAGGGAATTTTTAGCAAGTACACTGCCATATGTTTTAACATAAGTTATAGATCAGGCAAGTACAGAATTGAATAGAAGCAGTTGGAAGTGAAAATACACTGGAAATTCATAGATACTCTGTAATTTGGGATGAGATTTTAAAAACACCTTAGAGCCAACATTGCCAAAGGAACTGAGGTACATAAATATCTCTTACTGATCTGGGAACTTGATGATTATTAAAGTACAGTGAGATACTTGCTCCTAAGTCCTATAGGTGGTATTTTCTCCTGTACCTCTGGGC